GTTGTTCAAGGTCATGCAGCTGGGCCTGGTGGCACAGCCCTGTAGTCCCCGCACTCTGGAGGGCCGAGGCAGGTGAATCACAGGGTCAGAGGCAGCCTGGCAACCTAGCAAGACCCAGCCATAAAAAAGCACATGGGGATGTAGCTCAGGGTTCAGGCCCCAGTACTGGTGGGCAGGGATGAGAAGGCCTCTCTCTGGGGTTCTCTTCTCGCCTCAGTGTACCCCTGTGCAAAGTGGAGGGTCTTAGTTATCCCAAGAGGTTAGTCTGTACTCTGTGTCTGGATATTTGGATGCTGGGAGCTCTGAGGTAAGTGGCAGATCTTCCAGTGCTGCAGAAATGGGGTGGAGATGAGGACCCCTGCAAGAGGCAGTGTTCAGATGCAGCAGTGTCCAGCAGAAAATCCCAGCTGTTCTCAGGAAGCTTTTCTTCCACTGGTCTTCTGGGAGAGAGACCCGGCAAGCAGGACAGCAGTGCAGGGCAAACAAGGACCCCAGCAGCTCCGTGTGGAGAACCCCAGGCCTGGCAGCTGGGTGGGCCTGCCCCTCACACTGCCGGAGGCCAGTGCTCCGTTGGGGGGTCAGGACTGCTGGGAGGGGCCAGGCCACCATCCAGATTTCAGAGCCTTCCCCCGGGGCTTTGAGGTGCCCTCCACCCTTTCCTGAGCTGCTGTCACTGTGGGGGTGGCAGATGCGGTTTCATTGGCGAGTGGGAGGCCTCTGGAAGGTCCTCCTGGGAGGTTCCGGGGGTAAGTGGGGGTTTCAGCAGCTGCTGCCCAGCCAAGGGTGGCTGACAGTACCCTTCCAGGGCCCCAGACCCTGGACTTCAGGACCAGGGATGTGTCTGAGAATTGAGGCTGGTCTTTCCTGCCCTTGCCACCACCACTGCCCACCGAATTTCTTGGCTCTACCCCCGCCATCCCTGGCTGTGTCTGCAGAGCCCCCAGGAAGGCAGGGGAGGAGGCACAGCGGGCTCAGAACAGCGGGTGCCCGCGCAGCCAAGTATTTGCGCGAGCTGTCAGAGACAGACAGGCATGTGGGGAATTTGGTGCATGTGGGGCTGGGGGAAGCAGCCGGTTGGGCAGGCAGATCTGAGCTGGGAAGCTGGGGCTGCCTTTCGGCATTCAAACCCTATAGGGATCGCCATTCCCCCATGCCTGGAGGAGGCTGCGTTTGGGTACCTTGCCCTCCCTATACCTGGGCAGTGAGGGGAGTGGGACCAGTCCTGGCTGGGGCCTGAGATGGTGCTTACACCTGGGAAGAGAGCACCCTGTATGGCCCTGGAGCCTGGGAGAGGCTCTGGTGGAGTGTGGAGCCAGGCAGGAATCCGGGTTGTGCCTGACCGTGGCCTCCAGGAAATAGCAGCTGTCATCCCCCTCTCCCGCCCAAGCCTGGCACAACTTGTTTCCTGGCCAGGGTCCGGCTGGGGCAGATTGGAGGAGCCTGGTATTGCCCGGCTTGGGCAAGACACTCGCAGGCTTGAGAGGGTCATGTTTGTGGCCTGAAGGCAACTTGGGGTGCCAGGGGAGGGACCTCAGCTCTTGTTTTTTCCTTGCAGAGACCCCAACTTGGTTGCATTTGTTATCTGCTCCAAGCAGATTCTGTTAGGCATGACAGGGCCCAGGGCTGAGTTGTACTTGATTGTTCACAGCTGAGAGGCCAGAGAGGCGGCTGAACCGGCCCAAGGTCACACAGTGGACTCCCTAGCCTTTCCTGTGTCATGTGAGTGGGCCAATGGAAGGAGGTGAACATTGGGGTTTGCTGGGTTGGGGGGGTCTATATTTAGTCAGTCCTGCAGAGCTAGGGCCCCCTGGGAGCAGCTGTTGGGGGGGTGCACAGATAGAGGCCTGAAGCTCCATTTAGTCTGGACAGAAATATCCTCCCCCCACCCACCCACTGGCTGGGCGGCCAGGCTGCGGGCTTGTCCCCTGAGGGGCAGCTTGCCTGGGCCTGGCGGCCGTCGGGACAGGCAAGATGACCCGATAGGCTTTTCCCAGCTCAGGTTTCGATGAAACAGGAACCGGAGCCGCAGCCTGGGCCATGGGGGCCAGGGCAGCCGAAGCCTTGGGGGCCAGGGCTGCCTCCCTCGCCTCCCCCCTCCCTGTCCTAGGCGGGCAGGCAGGCGGGCAGGCAGCCTTCCTTCTCCGAGGCCTGGGGAAGCAGCAGGTTATTTATCAAGCCAGCCTCCCTGCAGCGTCTGCCTGAGTGCTTCCCCCTCCTCCTAAGCCATGAGCGTGGCAGAGCAGGGTGAGCTGGGCAGGCGGGTGGCAGGATTAGCTCGGGAGACGTGAGTCACCCTGTCCCCAGCAGCCCCTCGAGGCCCTGTGGACTGGCAGGCAGAGCACACACTCAGTAGCCCACACTCAGCATACCCAGGGGCACACAGGACAGAAGCAGTCACTCGTAGCACACATAATCCACACATCTTAGCACCCCCAGGTGGCATGCATCACAGATGTCGTGTGTGGGTGCTGCAGGGGTGCACTCCCGGCCCTGACCCCCAGTGAACACATGTGGGCATGCTCCTGGGCAGATGGACACACATGGTCACATGCAGGTGTACCTCCGGGGAGAAGGGCACACTCGTCCCACAGCGCACGTGCACTGCTCAATGAGGCTTCGGCCTTAACATCACAGCTTCAGATGAGGTTCCTCGGGCCATACCCAGATGAGACCATAGGGTGAGACCAGGGACCCTTGGGGCTGTGCGGGTCTGTAAGGTGGTGGGTAAGGACTCCCCCTCACCCGCTCCATGTGGGGACCCACTTGCCCTCCGTATGAGGTGCTCTGGTGAGGCAGGGCCGGTTGGAGAGATGCAGAGGAACTGGGAAGAGGCAAGGTGGGAAGGCTGTGGAAAATCGATTCCCCAGGAGCACTGAGGGGCAGGCTGCTGTCACTCAAGGTAGGCTCCAGAGGATGGAGGGGCCGCCATTGTGCGTGGAGTGGAACTCTTGGTCCAAGTGGGCTGTGTCCTAGGAGTCTCTGCCCTTTGTGCTCACCCTGGTACCTGCTTTTCTCTGTCCCCTTGGTTCCCAAGGCACTCGCTATCCAGGCTGCCGCCCCTACCTTGCAGTCAGCATCCTGAGACTTAGAACTTGGCCAAAGCCTTTGTTCTTAGTTTGTATCCCTGGGCTGCTGGGCAGGAGGGACACCTTCAAGAGCCATCTGTAGTTCTAAGTCTTTGTCCCCCACCAGGGGTGGGGCCTGCCTTCCTGGACAGACAGAAGAGGGAGCATACCCATTTCTATGGCCTGAAGAACAAGGCTTTTTCAGGTGAAAGAATTGAATCTGAGGGGCTGGGGATATAGCTCAGCAGCACAGCGCCTACCTGGCAAGTGCAAGTATACCTGAGTTTGATTCCCGGTACCTAAATAAACAAACAAGTAGGAATTGAATCTGATGGGAATGGCTTCCTGGTGGATAAGGGTGGCCATGGCTTTGGATGCTGCCTCCTAACACCCAGGCGTGGGCCACTCAGGCCCAGGCCGGCTTCCATTCCCTGGCCATGCAGGTCTCTGCCATTAAGGCCTGGACAGTGGCCAAGGACGAGAGAGGCCAGGCCTCTGAGGAGAACGTGGAGTAATGGCTAGGCAGGAGACTGGGCTTCCCCCCTGGATTGGACAGGTCGCTCCTTGCTGTGTCACTGTGGGCCAGTCTGCCAACCTCTCTTGACCTCACCTGGGTGTGTGTGTGTGTGTGTGTGTGTGTGTGTGTGGTTTGCATGCCTGTCTTTGGTGATGGTGGTGGGGATTGAACCCAAGGTCTCAGGTACTAGGTGAAGCACTCTACCTCTCATCCGCATCCCCAGCCTTTCGTCTTTGTCTTAAACCTGCAGGACCTAAAGTAGATGTTAGGTGCTAGGGTGAAGCTCAGTGGTAGAACACACACGTAACATGTGCAAGGCCCTGGGTTCAATCCTCAGCACTGCACAACAGCAACAAAACCATGAAGTAATGGTGGGGTGCCTAGGTCTCCCGGGGAAGTCCAGCCCCTTGTATGTATCTGCCCCTCATCTGCGCTGCCAAAGCTGAAATGTTTCGGGCGTAGCATCCCACAAGGGGTCCTTAATTAGAGTGGGTGCTGCAGTGGCACAGGGCTGGGCCTGGGGTGGAAGAACCTGGGCTCCTTGGGGAAGTTCCTGGAGGTGTCACACCATGAGAGCCAACCATAGTTAAAGCTTTTTCTGTTCTTCAGCCCAATGCTCACAAAGTAAGGCCATAACAAGATAAGTCATGGTGGTGCATACCTGTAGTCCCAGTAATTGGGAGGCTGAGGCAGGATGGTTGCTGCAAGACCAGCCTGAACTACATAGTTCAAGGCCAGCCTAAACTACATAGCAAGACCTTGTCTTAAAAAACAAAAGACACACACGCGCGCGCGCGCGCACACACACAACCAGGAACCTCCAGGTGACAAATGGGGTCTTTGCAAGGTGGTAGGAGACTTGGCTGTAGTCTGTGATGAGGCTGTTAGGACTGTGGTAGCTGGCATGTGGAGGGATTGGGGAGGTGGGAGGAAGGGCTTGCAGGCTGCGGAGCTGAGCTTTCTCTGGCTAGGAGAGGAGGTGCAGGCCTGGAAGCTGGCTCTACCCTCCTCCTAAACTCCACATCTACCTGTGGGCCTGCAGGGTGGAGGGCAGGAGAAAGTGGGCCGAGGGATTGGCTCAGAACTTAAAGGCAGACGAAGCAGAACTGGGGCTACAGCCCAGGTCATCTGACACCCCTAGCCTGAGCTGTCCTTAACACTTATGCTGGCAGGTGGTGAAAGTAAAAATAATAACACAGTTATCCTTTGTTGAGCACCTACTACATGCCGACTCTGCACCAACTGCTTCGCATATGCTGTTTCCAGGGCCCTGTCCAGTTGAGGTCGTCACTGGCTGCATTTCAGTGCCCAGGACATGGACTCAGCAGAGGCCAGCAACTTGTCTACAGTCACCTAAGCTGGAGACTGCTGAGCAGGCAGAGAGGAACTCTCACTCCAGAGCCCAGCAGGGGCTGTACCTGAGAAGAGGGCCTCCTCCTCTTGTTCTGTATGCCGGATAACATCCATGATTGGGCAGACCCTCCCTTCATGCCCGCTGTCTCTGGGCACTCTGCTGTCTCTCTGGAGGTACTACTCAGGTGTGACCCCCGCAGGCCTTGGGACTGCTGACCCTTCAGCCCTCAAGAGGGGGAGCCCCTTTAGCCACGGCTTCTGCAGGAGGGTTGTCTCACTTGAGGGTGGGGGGCAAGGGATGCCGGGAAGCAGCTTGATGACCCTTGGGGTTGCACAGATGTCCTTGTGGGCAAGTCCTGAGAAACTGCATTACTGCATTGTGAGAGCCACCTAGGGGCCTGCTGAGGGTCACACACTTCCTTTCTCCCGCCTTGTCAGGGGCTCCTCTCCTCTGTGGGGGGCCCCACGGACAGTAATTGAGAACGTTCCTGGAAGTGGGCGCTTCCTCTTCAGGACACAGGGGCAGCCACTGTGATCTTCTGGTCAGTTTGCCGTTGCACCAAAGAGAGCCCTGAACGTCACATGGCCCTAGGGGCCTCACTAAAGCTCCCTGAGTTAGGTTGGCGTTGTTAGAGGTTGTTGGTCCCCACCTAAGATTGCTTCCCCTTTCTGGTCTCGGTTTCTTCATCTATGAACTGACTTGACTACCCTGTACAGTCTCGGGGCTGGGTAAGTTCACCCCCAGCATACTAACCCCGGGCTCCCCAGGTACAGGGCTCCTGCCACTCTCGGGCACAGGGCTGCAGGGAGTGGGGTTGGACCACCTTGCATTTCAGGCTTGCCTCCACTGTCAACAGCTTGGGTGACCTAGGCTGGTCGATGCGCCACAGCCTGAGCCTCAGCGTGCTCATCTGTGAAATGGAAGAACCGCGGCGCCTGTCTCCTTGGGCTGCTGTGAGGATGACACAAGATGGTGGCGACAGCGACCCCCTCCCCCACACTGTCCTCCTGGTTCCTGTCCCTCCAGCCTTGGTCTTGAGGATTATGGGAAGGAGACAGTGCCAGTCTGCTGGCTTAGCCAGCTTGGCCACTGACCTTCAGAGCACCCAGGCTGTCAAGGCCACCGACTGCCTGCCGGGCGCGGGTGGCAGGCAGAGGGGAGCGCCAGCAGCTCCTCGCCTGCCACTGCCCACCCCTGCTCCCGCTCTCCTCTCCCTCTCTGCGCCTGTGTGTGAGCTAATTAATCTCAGCCCCTTTGGGAAATTAGAGCACCGCAGCCATGGCCTTCTCAGCCTTGTAGCACCTGTGCTGCTACTGGGCCCTGCCAGGACCTGCTGTGGTTTGGGGGGCACTGCGGTGGATTGGTGGAGGGTTGGAGGGGTGGAGGGTAGCGGGAACAACTGGATCTCCCTGGCTCCCACCTTCTGGCTGAGGGATCTTAGCCTCTCAGCCCCACCCCTCCCCAGAGAGAATAAAAAATGATAGGCGACCAAATCCCCAGGGGCCTCCCTGACCTGGTCCCAGGGCTGAAATGGTCCTACCTCACCCACGTTCCACCCCATTGTGGGGTTCTCTTGCTTGCCGAGCTTGGGTTGGTAGAGGCAGATGTAATTATGGAATTTTGCTTGGGAAATTAATTTGAAAAAGTTAATTAATTGGTGGTTCCGGAGGTAGCAGGCTCCATGCCCGGCTGGTCTCGCTGACGTCAGTACTGACCCTCCATAGATGTGCAGCTTCCTGGGCAGACTGCAGAGAGGGCCGCCGTGGCCTGGCTGGGCAGCCTGGCACAGGTAGATGGGCATGAGGAACAAAGGGCGGATGAGTCTCTGGGCACTGAATGGGCACGTGGGCAGAGCTTGTTGGCTGGACCTGCTGAGGATGAACTCTTGTCCTAGGAACTCAGCCACTTGTTTGTGTCCTCAGCAAGCAGCTGTCACTTCTCCTGTCCCGATTGCAGGGGCTCAGAGCCCCAGCCAGTGTAGACCACTGAGTGTTGGTTCCGATTTTCCAAACTCGCTTTCTCAAGGAAAATCGCTTGACCAAGCCCCAAGGTCCTTCCCAGGGGCAAGAGACAGGGACACAGTGGGGCCTATGGCAGAGACTTGTGTCCTCCAGCAGGGTCAGGTAGGGGGTCTGAGGCTTGGTTTTCTTCCTGAGGGATGAGCAGTCCAGCTGTTGGAATCCCACAGGCAGCCATCCTGTAAGCGAGTGTGCTAGGGTTAATGGAACCTATTTCTCGTGGAGGGAGCCACAGAACATAGCCGTTCATCCACCCTGTCACCCTAGCACCGCATGCCACCTCCTGCCCCACTGTCCTTCACAGACATTGCTGCTTCCCCGCGTTGGTATGTAGCGGCTCCCTCTACCATCCCATCCAGCCATCAGCTGTGGTGAGGCAGGAGGCCCCACACCTAGGGATTTCAGGGTACATAGGGAGCCCCCTACTACCTCTGGACTCCCTGCAGGGTCATTGGCCACAAGCTTCAGCTGTGCCAATCCTAGTTTCTGCAGGAGTCTAGACAGGAAAAAAGGGATCAGGGCTGGAGCTGGACATGGATGTGCATGCCGTAATCCTAGCACTCAGGAGGCTGAGGCAGGAGGGTCATCATGAGTTTGAGGCAAGCCAGGGTTGCATCGCGAGTTTAAGCTCAGGGTGAACTACATGGTGAGACCACATCAAAGAGCAGCCAGAGCTGGCGCTAGAGGTGGCCAGGCCAGGGACAGGTTTGAGATACTGGTTCCCCAAGAGACCACCAAGGTGAGGAACGTAGATTGCCTAGATAGGCTGGAATTGTGGCTTGGTGGTAGACTGCTTGCCTAGCATATAGGAAGCCTTAGGTTCAATTCCCAGCACTCTGAAAACAAAAAGGCAGATTCTTGGCAGGTCCCTCGGCTTCTCTGAGCTTCATTTTCTTCACGTGAGAGATGCAGGTAAGCATATCCCCAGGGGGCTGCAGTAGGGCAGGTGTGGCCACCTGAGCGTCAAGGCTGTTTCACTATCTGGTGGAGGCAGGCTGTGAAGAACAAGGGGCTGCATGGGACTGTACTGCTGCAGGGGTCTACGAGGCCACTAGGGCTTTAGAGGGGTAACCTGGTACATGTGTTTGGGACAGAGGGCTGAAAGTGTCACACGGGGTGGCAGTGCGAGAGGCACCCACATCAGTCTCGTGTGGTGCATACTTCTGGGTTTCTTCAAGGTTTAACCTCCAGCCTTGGATAAGTGGGTGCACTCACTCCCTGAGCATCCTGTGTGGGTGTGGGATTGGGGTCAGAGGAAGAGAGGCTCTCACCTCCTCCTCCCTCCCCTCCACTCCACTAGCCTTAGTGAGTATCCAAGGTTTTCAACCCTCTGCGTGTGTCCCTGAGGCTAGGAGCAACCTGGGGTGGGATTTCTGGCACCTCCTCTCTGTACCCCAGTGCCCAGCACAGCTCGGGAAGGCCATGGTGCCTCTGTGTTCGTTCCCATTTTACAGATGGGTCCGTTACGGTCCTGTGAGGACAGCTGCTCAGCCAAGTTCACGCAGCCTGTGAGCTTCAGGCAGAGCTGGGGACAGCTGGCCTGCCTCAGACAGGTGTGTGCCACTTGGTGCCCTCTGGGGGCTTCTTTCAGACACCAGGACCACTCCCAGCCTTCCTGGGGTCCCGAGCTTCCTGACCCACCTGGCAGGCCAGGTTCCTGGTCTCCAGTCTTGAGCTCTGTACCCCTGAGGGCTTGTGGGTGGAAGGCTTCTGGCATCAGGTTGAGGGTGCAAGGAGAGGCCTTGAATCTCCAAGCCTGCTTCTTTATCCATGCAGCAGAGACCCCGGGACCTGCCCCTCAGTGCTGGGGTAAGAGGGTGGTTAGAAGAGATGATGCCGAAGTTCTTGTCTGGTGCCTGGACCTAGTGAAAGTGAGTGTATGCCATCTTTATTAGGACTGTGACACTGTTATTTTGTTATCACCGCATTATTATTCATGCTCCCAGGGCCTAGCAGCTCCCGTAGCTGGGCCTGGACTTAGCTCTGGTCTGCAGAAGAGAAGCTGCAGTTTCTAATTAGTGCTCCAAGGAGAGGCTCTGGGTTTTTACTTTTGCTTCAGGGTCCCACCTGCCCAAGGCTTCTCCAGCCCTTCAGGTCCACTGGGCCGGCCCGGCCCCTTCCCCAATCTCAGGTGTGGGGGAGCTGGCCCCAGGCGAAAGCCTCCCCAAATTTCCCCTGCCATTCCCTCCGCCTCCCAGACCTCCGGGGCCATGAATCATTTATGAGGCAAAAATGAAACCAATTAAGGACAAACTTTGAAAGCCTCTAATTGCTGCGCCTGGTGGCACTGGGAAGTGAGGGAGGCAGGCCTGCTCACTGTGGAATCTCCTTGGCCCAGGCCTTCCCAGGTCGCCTGCCCGCCACTCTCCGGGCGCCTTGGCCTCCCGGCTCCCCGCCGCCTGGAGGCGGCCACGGACGGACGTGCCTGTGCGTCTGCCTCTCCGGCGCCTGCCGGGTCCCAGGCAGACTAATTAGGCCCGGCTCCCTCCCTGCACCACCCGCTGCCTGCTGCCCGCTCCAGGCCTGAGGTGATGGCGGCTGTTCCTGCCCTTCTGGGGCCTGTGCCTCAGAGCTGGCCACCTTTCTGGGCATGAGCCAGCTCTGCTTGCCTGTTTTAACCCAGACGAGGCCAGGATGCCCTTTTTCTGGATTGGAGCCTGGGGTCCATACACACTCCCACCAAGGGGTACAACTCTGGAAGGTGCTGGGGTGCAAGGCTAGGACAAGTCCCTTCCAGTCTCAGGGACAGGTGCTTATCTCAGGCAGAGAGGAAGAGACCTGGTTAGGGGTACCTCTTAGCTTTGCAAACACACAGTGATCTATGCAGACTCCGTGGCCTCATTTTCCCCATATGTAAACAACCGGGACCAGCCTGTTTTCTCCTGGATTTGGATTTGGGGAGCTGGATGCTGTAGACCTTTCACTCCTCTCTCACAGGAGCTTTTGAGGGAATGGAGGTGAGAGTCGGGGCCTGGAAGGGTTTGCCTGGCTGCATGAGCCTTAGGTTAGGGGCCAGTTACTAGCCCACCAGCTGTGCTGGGGGCCAGGCGGTCCCTGGGCATTCAGGCACGTTGTTTGCTGAAACAGAATTTCCG